ATATATATATATATATATATATATATATATATATATATGCAATAATTTTGAATACAAACCTTCCATTTGAGTCCCAACAAAGATCAACTACTTCAGCAAAGTGTCCACTTGGTACAGATTTTGGAATCCAATTTTTTATAATATTTGAATATTCCCAAATATGAAATGATCCTTGATAACCATGTGCTAATATATTTAATCCATTACCATTAAATTTACAACCATAAAAACCCATTGAATTACCACCAACTTCACCTACTCTTACTTTTTCAGACCAAATACCAGTTATTTCATCTGGTTCCCATATAATCATAGATTTATCTATGGAACAAGATAATAATCTTAAAATTCTATTCTTATTATTCAATTGTAATGGATACCAATGTACACCATAAACCCAGCCCTCATGTCCATAAAGAATAGATTCCAAAGTAATATGATACTTTGAGTCATTGACAATGAATATTTGTTCTTTTGATGTAATTCATTATTTGATTCTTCTGTATTACTTGTAGAAATTTTCCAAAGTCGTATCATGGCATCTTGAGATCCACTTGCAAGCAAGATACTATCACTTATATTGTAATTAAAGTCCATACATCGTACCCAATCTTCGTGTCCTATCAAAACTTGAACTTTTACAAAATGTAATTTTTCTGTAATATTACAATTGGTTACATATAATTCAATTGTTGAATTTTCTATTGCAATAGCTAAAAGAGGTAAATCTGTATTTGGTAGAAAAGAAAAACAAGCTTCTATTGGTAACTTCCTATTAAATGTAAGTGTCTGTAGACATTTTATATTATTGTGAGTATCTCTAAACCATATTTTTAAATCTCCTTCAACAGATCCAGTACATATTAATAATTTAGAAAATGTTTCTTCACTTAGAAAATCTTGATCATGAATATATATACAGTTACTAAATGTAACAATATTTTTAACTTCTATGATACAGCTACAATAAAAGAAATTATTTTTTTACTCCAAACAATGACTGTACCATCTACTGAACTTGATAATAATTCTGATTCGATTTTCGAGTTTCTTCGTTTAATCCATCGAACAGTATTAACTCGATCTTTGTGTTGATGAAGTGTATTTGTTATTTTTCCAATTTTTGAAATATATGGATCATAAATTGCAACTGCGTGACATGCTGCGAAACAAATAAGTCCATTTTTTCCCCAATCAACCGAATGTGGAACTCGATTGCAAGCACATGATATATAAGTTGTCATATTTTATTTTTAAATAATTGGTAATAAACTTTAATAATCAAATGTTTAATTTAACCTCCATGTAACTACGCTATACATGCGGTCTTTATTATAAGATTAGTGTATATGATAGAAAAGGAATACGCGGGAAATTTAAAAATTTGAAAATTTTCTTTTAATCCTAAAATTTTTTTTGATCATATATATATAACAAAATAACAAAATAATTCTTCTTTAAAAAAACATAAAGCAAACTTAAAATATTCTTTCAATGAATATTAAGTAATTTATTATAAAAATATCTTATGTTTTTTATATTATAGTATTACAATGCTATTAAAATTTAATATTAAGAAAGAATTAGTTATATTTTCATAATGGAATTATATAAAAAGTTTATAATAATATTTAATATTGTTAAATTTTAGAAATTAATATGTGGACGTTTAAATAGTATTGATGGTATATGTTGGTCTCCCAATAGCGAATTATTGTGTATATGGTCATCCTTTAGCGATGAAACAAAATTAATTATTTATTCAACTATATTCGAAAGAGATATTGCTGTATTCTATCCTGCTCATTTTCAAAATTTAAAAGGAATCGAGAATGTAACATGGATGCCCAGTGGACAGCTATTAGCTGTAACTGGATTTAATGAAATGGTAATTTCATATATTTTAGTATATTAAACTTTTTTACTAAATTGCATTTTCATTGTTATTGCTAATCTTTTTTAGCAATATGTTCGTAAAAATATATATATTTTTTAGATTGTATTATTAAATCATGTGACATGGAAACCACTTTTACATTTATACCTTGAACCGATAATAAAAGAAAATTATTTGAACAAAGTATATGAAGAACGTATAATTCAATTAAATTTTTCGAATAAAAGAAATTCTTATAATAAATATATTTGTAAGTAATTTAAAAGAAATTTATATAAATATAACTGATATTAAAAAAAATCGATATTTCTAGTGGAAGAAAAATCAGAGCGACCAATAAATATAAAAATTGGAAGAAAAAATAATATCGAAAGATTATCAATAGCTAAATTTGATATTTTAGAATTTAGTTCATGCGGACAATATTTAGCAATAAAACATCAACTTTATCCTACAACATTGTGGATATGGAATATTATCGATGATTATCTTGATTACTTGCTTCTTGAAAATGCTATTGTAGGTAAGTATTTTGATAATATATTTTTCTATAAAATAATAAATTAAATAAAATATTGAAACATTAAAACTTTTTAATTAGCTGCAAAATGGAATCCTGCACGCGCTCATCTTTTGATATTTTGTGAATGTGTACATATATTTGAATGGACACCACATAATGCAAATTGTATATCAAGTCCACGAAATATTACAATAGTAGATGCACGATGGCATCCTCAAGGAAATTTTTTTATTATTGTGTGGTTATAACAAAGCAATTATTTATCAAATTGAAAATAAATTATGAATCATTTAAATAATATATATAATAAATAAATTTATTTTTTCATATATAATGATATTTGATGTTACAAAAAAAATAAAATATATTTATAAAACATTATAATAACATTTTAAAATAATTAAAATTATTTTTAAAATGTATTCTAAATTTTAAATAATTTAATTTTTATATCTTATATAAGTAATAAAATAAAATAAGATGAAATAAAATTACACAATGCATTGTTGGTAATGAAATTGTTGGCAATACATGCATGTATACAAATTCATCCATATATACATTTTAATTTGTCATGAATACATCCATTTCTTAACCTTAATTTTTCTTAAGTATTAAAATATATAATTAAAAATATTTATAGAATTAATTTCTATAAACAAAATTATTTATAAATTTAAAAATGAATCATACGGACATTGAATTAATGAACGACGTTATATTAGAAGAAAAACAAGTAAAAAGAAATAATACGTAAGTAAACAATTTAACTTTTTGTATATTATAATAAAATAATATAATAGATTCAGGATATATCGTTAAAAAGTATATTTTTTTATACATAAAAAACAATTTGATCATTAAAAAGATCAATAAAAATATTTTATTTTTAAAATTATTTTTTAAATTGAAAAAATATATCTTATAGGAATATCTCAGCAAAAAATAAAAATAAAAATAATAATCCACATATTTCAAGCAAACTTAAAGTAGAATTACAAACCTTAAGAATATCAGAAGAATCTGAACAACAATTATATAATACTTTAAAACATATTTATGGTTCTGTACGTATTTATAAATATTTTTATTAATCTATTATTATTTTATACATAAATATTTTTTGTAAAATGTATTATTATTAGAAATTAATATAGTTTTTTGATAGAGTTTTAAACTTTCTGATGCATCAGAATTTGAAAATAAAAGATCCAATTTAGGCAAACAATATTGGATGGAAAGGGGAAATTTAATTATCAAAGGAATAGTTGACTATTCTTCTAAAAATAATAAACCTAAAAGTGAAGAACAAATTAGTAGACAATTTGCAACATCTAAACTTAAAAGTTATGGGTGAGTTAGTTAAATTTTAATAATAAATATTTATAAATAAGTATTTATATTTTTTTTAGTTTTCATCATTCACATTGCATGGAAGCATTAATACATACAGAAGGTGATGTAGGAAAAGCTTTGGAACTATTATTTTATAAATATTATGAATTGGAAAATATAACAAGAAATAAGATACCTGATGATATTAAGACAATAGAATTATTAGAAAAAAGAAATGAAGAAAGAGAAGCACTTGAATCTATTTATGGGAACATGTTTACTGAAAAAATAAAAAATCAAATTTGGATTGTACAAGTTAAATTGGATTATTAGTAAGAAATGATGAAATAGAAGAAGAGATTGAAAGAATTAAACAAAAACAAAAGAAAGAAAAGGAAAGAGAAATTTGCAGATTATTTATTCATAAAAAATGTAGATTCGGAAATAAATGTAGATTTTTACACCAACAACCACAAATAATAAAAATGCCTGAAAGAGAAGATCCATATTTTACTTTAGAAATAAGATTTCCTGAAGGTAAAATATGTATATATTACACTATATTATATTATTATATATATATATCTTTTACTATATTTAATTATTTTAAATATTTCTTTAGGTTGTAAATATCCTTATGAACCACCTTATTTTTATTTTTATAAAAATGATGGTACATTTCCAAGTATAAATTGTTTAAGAATAGGAAGAAGATTGTATGATGAAGCATTACTAATATCTGCAGATGGAACACCTTCTATTTTTTCAATAATATCTCTTTTGGAAAATGAATATGATATAAAAGAATATTTAGAAGAAAATAAAAAACAATTTATAGATCAAAATGAATTATTATTTCAAAAACAATCAGAAACTGAAGATGAAACAAATATAGCTACACATTATGAATTAGGATCTATTCATAGAAAAAATAGAAATAATGTTAGTTGGGAAGAAATATTAAAAGAAGATAATCTAATTGAAAAAAATTTCAAAGAGAAACAAACAAATTCTAGATATAAAAAAATGAAAGAAATTAGAGAAACGCTGCCTGCATGGACAAAAATGGATGAAATTTTAGAATTAATACATAAAAATCAAGTTACTATAATTTCAGGTGAAACAGGATGTGGCAAAAGTACACAAGTAATTAATTTTGTATTCAATTAAATGAAAATAATAAATTTGAACTTATAATAAAGTAAAATAATAAAGTAATTTAATAAAGTAATATTAATTGAAAATATTTTTTAGGTACCACAATTTTTATTAGATGATTGGATTTGTAATAGATCTAAGTCTAAAGAACATGTTAATATAATATGTACACAACCTCGAAGAATAAGTGCAGTAGGAGTAGCAGAAAGAGTTGCAACAGAAAGAAATGAATGTATAGGTGATATAGTAGGATATCAAATACGATTAGAAAGTAAAATTTCTAATAGAACTAGATTAACATTTTGTACAACTGGGATTTTATTGCAAAGATTTTCTATGAATCCAGAATTAACAGATGTTACACATATTATTGTAGATGAAGTTCATGAAAGAAGTGCAGAAAGGTAAGTTACTTACTTTTTACCATATAAATTTGTTTATTTTAATATAATTATTTTAATTTTTTTTAGTGACTTCTTATTGATGCTCTTAAAAGAGTTATTGCATAAAAGATCAAATTTGAAAATAATACTTATGAGTGCAACACTTAAAAGTGAGGTATTTTCCTCATATTTTAAAGGAGCTCCTGTTTTATGCATTCCAGGAAAAACATTTCCTGTAGAACGAATTTTTTTAGAAGATATATTTGAGAGAACAAATTATGTTCTTGAAGAAAATTCGAGATTTACACGAAAAATTAAAGGTGGTTGGATGCAATTACAAATTGATTTAGAAACTGCAGAGATTGAAGGTCTTTCTGCTCCTATACCTAAGGAATCTATTGAAGATGAAAATTTATCACTAACGCAACTTGTCAGTAGATATCAGGCTTATAATAAGCAAACTCATAAAAATTTATATGTTGTAGATTATGATAAAATTAATTTTGAACTTATAGAGACAATATTAGAATGGATTACTTTTGGTGAACACAATTATCCTAAAACAGGCTCCATTTTAGTAAGTAAATTTAGTAATAATAATAGTAAATAATAATAGTTGTTCTTTTTTCAAAATAAATAAAATTGATATTGCATTTACAGATATTTTTACCTGGATTTGCTGAAATTATTGCACTAAAAGATCGATTGAATGACAATAAATTTCTCTCACCAAAGACTGGAAAATTTATTATTGTACCATTACATTCATCTTTATCAAATGAAGAACAAAACTTAGTTTTTAAGAAAAGTAAAAACGTCAGAAAAATTGTATTAAGCACAAATTTAGCTGAAACTTCCATCACTATTGATGATTGTGTTTTTGTAATTGATAGTGGCAAAATGAAAGAAACTAGATTTAATTCAAATCAAAACATGGAAAGTTTAGAAACATGTTGGGTATCACGTGCAAATGCATTACAAAGAAAAGGTCGTGCTGGACGTGTAATGTCTGGAATATGTATTCATTTATATACTTCATACAAGTATATAATTATATTTTTAATAATTTAATTAATAAATAATTTTTGTATTAATAAAATATTTATTAATATTTATTTAATTTTTTATATTTTTCAGATTTAAATATCATTTCACAGCACAACCAGTACCTGAAATATTACGAATTCCTTTAGAACCATTGTTATTACGTATACAACTTTTACATATAGGAAAAAAGATTGATTTACATAAAATTTTAAGTAATAATAATTTATTTAATTTTATATTTTTAATTAATTTTATGGCATTTATATTATAATATTTAATTAGGTAAAATGCTAGAACCACCAACAGAAGAAAATATTAATAGTGCAATTAAACGTTTACAAGATGTTGGAGCATTTAATTCCGAATGTACATTAACACCATTAGGCCATCATCTTGCAACACTGCCTGTAAATGTACGAATTGGAAAATTAATATTGTTTGGAGCAATCTTTTGCTGTCTTGATTCTGCACTCACCATTGCAGCTTGTTTATCTCATAAAAATCCGTTTACTATTCCTTTCGAAAAAAGACACGAAATTGATGCAAAAAAAGAATTTTTTACTGCTAATTCTGATCAATTAACTATTCTCAAAGCATATAAGGTAAACATGTAAATATAAATATTATAATATTTATATATATATATAAATATATATATTATATAATATATAATTTTATAATTATCATTATTATTTCTTTTGACAGAAATGGTTAGAAGCATATACACGCAACAGTAATGCAGGTCAAGCTTTTGCAAATGAAAACTATCTATCTATGCGTACACTATGTACTTTGGCAGATATAAAATATCAATTATTAGAATTATTGGTTTCAATTGGATTTGTTCCTATTAATTTGCCCAAACGACAACCAAATGTTGATAAGATTGTAGAAATTACTGGATTTGAACTTAATATCAATAATGACAATTATAAACTTCTCCAAGGTTTACTCTGTGCAGCTTTATATCCTAATGTGGTAAAAGTTTTTACACCAGAAAAATCTTTTCAAATTCAATCTGCTGGAGCAGTTCCAATACAACCGAAACCCGAGGAATTAAGATTCCAAACTAAAAATGATGGTTTTGTCAGTATCCATCCATCCTCTGTCAACTTTCATGTTGGCTATTTTCCTAGTCCATATTTAGTATTTCAGGAAAAAGTTAAAACAAGTAAAATATTTATTAAAGAAGTATCAATGGTACCAATTTTACCATTAATTTTATTTTCTGATTATGAATTAAAAATAGAATTACATAATGGAATATTTATTGTATCATTAGAAGATGATTGGATTTTATTTAGTGTTGAATCTCATAGGGTAAGAATATTATTTATAAAGCTTTATAAAAATTAAACTAAATTTTATTATTAGTTTTATAAAATTTAGACATAAAATATTAATTATAAATATTGATTTTACTTAGGTGGCACAACTTTTACAAAGAATGAGAATGGAATTAGTCGAATTATTGGAACAAAAAATGAAGGAGCCTCTTTTAAATCTTTTGAATCATCAAAATGGGAAAAAAATTATTCAAACAATTGTAAATGTAGTCACCAGAGAATAAAATATAATAATATATTATACATTTTTTAAATATTAATTATAAATTATTATTAAAAAAATACATTGTGATTCATTCATATTGTGATCAAATTATCCTATAAAAAGTAAGTGTTTGATATAAATAATTGTTATTAATATAGTATTAAAGTTTTTTTGAAAATTAAATTTTTTATAAAATCATATTTATTTATCTTTTTTTTTATCTTATACAATTTTTTTATATAGAATATTAATATACTCATGAAATATCCTTAGAAATTGATTCCAAAATAAATACAAAAATTGGTAAAAAATATCAATTGAAATTAATTTATTAAATAATAAAAAGCAATTTAAATTACGAAGATAGAGCAAGATGTTTCTATCCCCACCACCCGTCTGTCTCATTCTGTCTCGTTTTCATTTTCAACAAAAATTTAAATTATTATTTAATAATTTATAGATAAATTTAATTAACATTTTTATATTTTATTGTTTTGATTTCTAAAATCGATCTTTCAAAGATATATTAATATAAGAATATATCAATATTCGATATATAAGTGTTAAGACATGTGATTATATGATCATAGATAGTTTAATAGTGAATGTGTTTGTATAAAATTTATGAAATTCTATAAAAAAAATTCTTTTTTTGTATATTTATTAATTAATTGCATTTAAAGTGAACATTTTTTTATAAGTCATTATAATTAATCATAACCAGAGAATTGTATAACAAAAATTACAATGGATTCGGATAAGGTTATAATAGAAAAGCCTATAGTGGTAGAAAATAGAAATTTACACGATGAATTGAAGAAGCACATAATAAATACTGAAAAAAATAATTATGTTTCAAATAATGAAAACTGTTTATCAAAATATAAAGAAAATATTCAAATTAATATTAATGAGACAAGTAAATTTGCAGATAATTCTAAGCTAAATATAATTAATAATATTGAAATTAAACAAAATTGTAATAAAATAAATAATCTAATTAATGAAGAAAAAAATTCAATTACTTCACATATTAATAGAAATGAAGTATTAACTAATGATCCTAATAAAAAGCAAGATCATATAACATTTGAAAAATTAAAACATGAAGATAATGATATTCATATCATACATAAAAAGAATATATCATTAACTCAAAGTAAGAATAGAAAATATTCATTATTTTAATTGAAATTATTTATAATTTTTAATTAAATAATTATTGAATTTTGTGTTTCTTTTTTTATTAGAAAATGATAAAGTATCTTCTCTTGTTAGTATTGCTTTAGAATATGGAAATTCTGATTCAGAAACAGAATATAATTCTGATGAAATAAAATGTGAAAATAATGAAAGTAAATCTTTAAAAGAAATACAAATACAAACTTATAGGCAAAATAAAGAAACCTCATCAGATGAAGAAAGTGAAAGTCAAGATGATTCTAATAGCAGTGATTCTTCTGTAATAATTCAATCAAATGAATCAGATAGTGATGATTGTTTGAGCAAGTAAGTTTATATACCTATATTATAAGTTTAATATATACCAATTTTAAAACAATTTTTTATATTTTTAGGAAAAGCATGAGAAATAGTATAAAAAGGCAAAAAAATAATGAAATAAAAAATGAATTAGATGATTTACCTCCTATTGAAGACTTAAAAATTAGTGTACCTGAAGTATTATGCGATCCATTAGGAGAAGTATTTATGAATCCTAAATTAATTTACAAATATTGTTAAATTTAAAATAATATAATTGAATTAAAATTCAAGGTTGCTTGGATGGTAGAACAGTTGGTAGTTGTGAAACCAAAACCTGGTAAACCAACATTAAACTTAGATACAGTTTTATTTGTTGAAAAAGGACAAAGAGCATTAGGTAAAATATTTGATGTCTTTGGAAAAGTAAATGAACCTCATTATTGTGTACGTTTTAATAGTTCTAAACATATAAAAGAATGTGACATAAAAGAGAAAATGACTGTCTATTATTGTCCAAATACAGAATATACTTCCTTGGTATTTCTTCATGAATTATTGAAGTAAGTATAAATATATAAATAATCTTTATAAAATTAATTTATAGTAAGCTTTATGTATTAAAATTTATAATTATCATAGAATTAAAGGTATTGATGCAAATGCAGATGATCCCCCAGAATTTTCAGATGATGAGGAAGAACGAGCTTATTATGAACAATTAAAAGCAAAACAAATAAATAATGTTAATCAATCAGATATTCCATTTAAACGAAAACGTATTTCAAGTAAGTTTCTTATTTAATATTAACATTTAATATTTATAATAATATTTGTTTTTCTTTAGAACCTAATACTGGTTGGCAATCAAATCATCCATGGAATAGAAATGTACAAAAGCAAAAAAAAGAATTTTATACACGAACAAATAGACAATTTTTTTTTGAAAATCAAAAAAAATCTCAAACTTTATGGTCACAAGCTTATCAAAATAATAGTGAATCATATGGATATGGAGCATATTCAATGCAACCTATGCAATATATAAATCATAATAGTAGTGCTAATCAAAATTTATATAATTCCCACAATTATTATAGTGAAGATAATAGTACAGCATATTTAAATCCTAGAATTCCTTTTAATACATGTCCAAGAATTTCTCCAGAATACTTAACATTACAACATCATCCAAATTCATTTACAAATGTAAGATTCCAATCAACAAATATACCCTGGTTATCACAAGTTCCACAAGTTCCTACTCGAATAAAAGTGCCATGGGTATCTTTACCACCACCTCCTCCTCCTCCTCCTCTACCAAGTACATCATCAGATACTACTTAAATATCAATAATGGAATAATTATTATTTATATTCTATTTCTTAATTTTTATGTGCATAAATATTATTTTAAAAATACAAGATAAAAATAATTGAATATATTAAAAATTATATACAATAATATATATGTATTGTTTCTTAAAAGAATTCAAATTAGATTAGAATAACTATTAGAATAATTATATTAATTATTAATTAATTATTAGAATAATATATTAATTATATTAGTTATATTTACATTATTTTTTATAATAAATCTTTATTAACATATAATATATTATTCCTTATGAATTATTTTCGAATATAATAAGAAAACTACGTGCAAAAAATATATGTAGTATTATAATATTAATTAGTATTATTTATAATATTCTTAATTTTACTATTCTTTAAGAAATTGATTATATTTATAAGCAATCATATCAGGTTTTTGTAACTGTTCTTCAGCAAATGCAATATCAGTTTTTATTGCTTTAATTAATTCCTCTAAAATGATAAAAAAACGATTTAATAAAAAAAACCAATTTTATAATATTATAATTATTTACCTTCGGAAGTAAAATTTTTTTCTGGTCGTATATATCCCACAAAAATGGCTTTAATTTGTTTTCCATAAAAGTCATTTTCAAATGTATGTATTAGATGTAATTCCTATATTATTGAAAAATAATTAAAAATTTTTATTTTATTAAATATTGAATATTTTATAATTCATACCACAGTCTTTTTTTTATTTTTATAAAATGGATTCCAACCAATACTGGCAACCATTTTATAAATTTGTCCATCTATAGAAGCCCATCCATAATAAACTCCAGTATTAAAATCATTAGGTAAATTTTCTACTACATTATCTTCAAGATTTGCTATAAAAAAATAATTTCATAATTACTTATATACATTAAAAAATTATATTATTTAAAAGTTACATTTTTTATATATAATTATAAATTTTATATTTTACTTGTATATATATATTAAATGTAATATAATTTTTTTATAAGTTTTTATTTTATTGATTAATTTTAGCTAATTTTAACTTTAATACATTTTTATAAAAATTAATCGTACTGTTTAATGATTAATACTAAATAACTTTTTTTAATATATTTCATATATTCCCGCCAATAAGCATGTAAAGAATAAAATTATATTTTCTAGTTACATGTAAATACAACTCTAGATTATCATTAAAACAATTTTAAATTTATAACTTCTTAATTTCAAAATTTCAGAATTGATTAAAGAAAAATTAAGATGTTTAATCTTACCTGTAGGTATTCCTAAAACTTTAGAACCTCTGCCAAAACCTCTAACCACCGATCCGATAAAAAATATAATAGGTTTTTAGTACACATAATGTATCTTTATATTGCGTCAGACCTGTAACTATGAACATTAATTAATATTCCATGATATATAATCTTGAAAGAAGATAAAGAGTTTGTTATATGACGTGGCATCTGCATATATATATATATATATATATATATATTGTATAATTTCATTTAAAATTTCATAAAAATTATATAGATTATTGATAACATAAATCAGTTACTATTAAAACAAATATAATATATAATAATTATATATGTAATATTGTTTTTAAAATAAAATAAAATTTTTATAAAACTATAAATATATATATATATAATAAAGTATATTATAAATAAATATACCAATAAAAAGCTTGTTACCAGATTGAAAATATTGTTTGAATTGACATTTTTTTTTTATGTTTTTGACATAAGTTTTTTATGTTTTTTCATAAGTTATCATGCACCATGCATAATATATTTTTTATTGTACATTATTTTTAAAAATAATTTTTAATAATAAAATTTTTTTAATAAAATATAAATAAATTTATAAAATAAAACATTTTTTATATAGATTTGTGTGATTAATTTATTTATTTTTATTGTAATTGCATTTTTATTTTAAAATAATTAAAATGAAGTATTTGTTTATTTATTTTATGGTATTTATTTTATTGTATAACTATTGTATATACTTATTTATCTAATAAACTATTAATATGTTTTTAAATTATTAAATAACAAATAGTATGATAATAGTATATTTTTATAATATTATAATATATTGTTCAAAAATCCATTTTTAAGATATTATTTATTGAAAAATAATATTTCTTTATATATTTCTTAACTTATAATTTAATGTTTTACTATTAGTATTTCTTATGTATACATTTTTAAAAAAATATTAGTTTTATAACTTGATAAATGCATTATAGATATGAAAAAATGTATTGAAAGTTTTAGTAAATTTAAAATTACATGCATATAAAATTATTTTTTTGCACAAAATACAATTTAACGCGGACACATGACATGTCTTCCTCCATCAATAGATAAAGTTACACCTGTAATAAAACTAGCATCATCACTTGCCAAATATGCAATTGCTTTTGCAACTTCATTAACATCTCCTGATCGGCCAAGAGCATGAGTATTTTTACAATGCTCATAAAAGTTTTTTAGTTCTTCATCTGACATTCCACTATTTTTATGAAGATTTGTTGTTATTACACCAGGATTTACAGCATTAACTCTTACCTATAAATTAAAAAATAAATATAAAATTTACATGAAAATATCAAATATTATTGCATTTAATATATTCTAAAATTATATATACTTGTTTTGGTGCAAGTTCAACAGCCACACATCTTGTAAATTGATCAATTGCTGATTTACTCATACAATATGATAAAACTCCTGGGAAGGATCTTAATCCAACTACACTTGATACATTCACAATATTACCTTTAGTTTGTATTATGTATGGAACAGCCAACATTGTTAAATAATATATAGAACGTACATTTACATTAAAAATTCTAAAACATTGGCATGTAAATATTTCACATATTTTTTAAAATTAAAATAAAATTTCATATTTTTAAATAATATAAAAAATAAATATATACCTATCATATTGATCTAATGAAGTGTTTTCTATGCTGCCATTTTCTAATATACCAGCATTATTAATTAGAATATCTAATTTACCATAATGTTTAATAGTTGATTTAATAATATTTTGAACATCAGTTTCATTAGTCAAATCTCCAGGTATAATTAATGGTTTATTAGATTTACACTGATCAGCTATTTCATTTAATTTCTGTACATTACGACCTGTAATTGATAATAGTGCATCAAGTTGTGAAAAATGTTTAGCAGTTGCTGCTCCAATGCCAGAACTAGCTCCAGTTATTAATACAACTTTTCCTGCAAATGACATCTAAAAAAAAAAAGTATTTGTTTAGAATAAAGTAAATTTAATGTTATTATTAAAATAATTTTAATTATAATATATTTTATTGCAAATAATACATTATATATTATTAATTACATTATATATTATAATACACATATATTATTCCCTACTTGGATTGGAATATAATTTGTAAAATATTTTATTAATTTATTTTTTAATATATAATTACCTTTTAATATAAAATATCTATAATATATATATAAAATATATAATGTAAAATATTTATTATAAAAATCTTGTTTTAATTTGTATTTTTAAATATTTTTTTATAAAATCTTATATAACTTGTTGGCTAAAATTATTACATAAATTTTATTTTATTACTAAAAATTAATTTTCATTGTTGAAATAAGATTAAATAGTTACCACGATATGATTCAATATTTATATATCTATATGCAGGCTTGCCGTTTTGAAGAAATTAAGGGAAAAATATAATTACTATATCAGTTCAATTATGTTAAGTTAAACAAATGAAGGAGATTATGGTTAGACTTTAGATACGACGCAATATTCGTTCTTTCTAATTTTGAAAACTTGAATTTTGACACTTTATGCAACGTGTTATAATAGAAAAGAAAAGAAAATGTAATAAAAAATGTAATAAAAAAATGATAAGAAAAAATAAATAGAAATAGAATTTTTATGATAACTATTTGATTCTACGAATATTCCCAATCTAGAAATATTCACAAATATATATATTTATAAATTATATTTTATAAATTAATTATAAAAAGATTGTAACTATAGATATTGTAAAACTTGTAAAATCAATGATTTTCAATTTCAATTAATTAAAATGAGTAAATAATGAAATAAAATTTATTGAAATAAATATAAATATAATATTTGATTATAAAACACATTTTTGCAATTTATATTTTTTAAATAATTAGAATCTTATAAAGAATTATTAAATTATATTTTTATATGTTTTTACAAAAACATACACACACACAAACATACACAAGTTATAAGATAATTTTGTTTTCCAAAAATTAATAAAAATCAATTCATTATAATAAAATAATCATATATTTTTCAATTTTATTTGTTCTAATTTTATTATTATTGTATCTAAATATCTTTCAACTCTATTTAAACATATACAAATCTTATCAATATTCCACTCTTGATCTTTGACTTTTTTTACAATTCCTTGAAGAGATAATTTTGCACTTGCTAACAATGTTTTTTTTTTTTTAATTCACAATTGGAAGCATGTTGTAAGTATATTTCTGCTAATATACAACATAATTGTAATATTTTTTCAACTGATTCTTCTTGTAAAAGCCATTTTGAATCTGAGATAGCAATACGATATGCTTGTTGTAAATAATGTATTGCCTTTTCATTATCAACATCTGTCTTTTTTAAAATAATAAGTTGTCCATACATCCTCCAAACATCAGAATTATTAGATATAAAAGAAGTAATTCTTCCAAATAATTCTAAAACTTTTGGAAGCAATTTTTGTGCAGAAATTCCATTTGAATCATTTACATTGTTTAATACAGCATTAGTAAGTATATCAAGAACTTGAACATCTAAATGGTGACTTTTCAAATCTAAAATACGATGATAACATCGAATTACCTAAAAAAATTAAATATAAGTCAAAAAATTGAAAAAATATATTTTAGAAAATAATTTAATTTTCTTTTTATTTTAATAATATATAAATATATTCGTACTTCTGAAAAATGTCGCAAATCAATGCTCACTATCATTAAATTATCCCAAACTTGCCATTGATCATAATTACATTTTATAGCATCTTGAAGAGATTTCCAAGCTTTTGCTTTATCACCTAATTTTATGTAAGCCTTTGCCAAATTATTCCATGCTTCAAATGTCTGTAACCAAATTGTAAAATTATGTAATATATGATATAATAAAATTATAAATAGTCATATTATATTAATGGAAAAATAATAAATTTTTTTAATGCAAAAGAAAATTATAATTTTATTATATATATTTAATTTCATAACTGTTTTATTAATTCAATACAAACCGTTTGTTCTAAAGCACAATAATGTTTATATGCTGTTGCTGCTAATTTCCAATCTTCTGTTTCTAAGGCAGCAAATCCAAGTCTTATCCATACATGTTCTTGAATATTATTTAATTCAACTGATAATTTTAAATGTGGTATAGCTTCTTTGTACTAAAAAATAAAATATATAATAAAAAAATAATTAAATTAATATATTTACATTTGTATACTTACATTTTGTTTTTTAAAATAAAAAAATCCCCAATGTCTTTGAACTATGCTACTTTTTTCGTTGGATAATTTCCATGCTGTTTCATAATGATTAGGATCCTCAGTTGCATCACCTAACAAACACCATAATTGAACCGATGGCTTTTTAGATAATTCTTGATGAATAATTTCTACTGCCTAAAATTATTAATAAAATATAAATAATTTGTTTTATATGTATGTATATATATATATATAATAAAAGAGGATGATATGAATTAAAAAATATACTTTATGTTTCAGATTTATTATATTGTAACAAGCAATAACTTCTTTCCAAAGTTTAAGTTTTAAGAAAACATCTAAAGCTCCCTTTACTAATCCAAGACTTAACATCAATTGTGCATACATTTGTTCTAAAACCCAAATTGGCTTAAGACCACTAGCAAAAAATAAGTCCATTCTATTTGTAACAGAAACTTCTGTTTTATTTAACTCATGTATTAAATATTCCATTTGCATCATTGACCGTTCAACAGTTCGTTTATCTCCAGATTCCAAAGAACATCGATTATAAAAAGATGCCATTTTTAAAGACCAATTTTTTGTATTATTTATTACAACCTATTAAAAAATTTCCTTCAATAATGAAATTGACAATTGATATGATAAAATAAAAATACTTACAGTTAAATAAGGTATTATTTCTTCATCCGTTAATTTATCTTTTGGTTGTGATAGTTGCAACTGAATACTAATAAAAATAAAAATTATAATAAGACATAATTTTTTTCTTATGATATGATATTATGATATAATAAACATATAAAATTATTCTTACTATTTTGCTAATATTATAGTTTCTTCTACAGCTCCTATTTGTGTATTTGCTATACTTTCTGAAAATTCAATATGTTCTAATCTAATTTCATCGTTTAAATCCAATGATTTTGGTAAATTTTCACAACATCTAAAAGGAATTGTTTTTTTCCAAATTTATTCTTAAAAATAATTGTGCCTTTTCTTTCTGATATTTTGTACGTTTTCCCAATGCACCTTGCAAATTTAACTTAATTTTGCTCTTTCCTGAGCAAGGTTAATATATTTTTCTGAATTATGAATTCTTCTATAATAAAAATAAAATTGCGCAGCTTCAATACAAAATAATGTTTCACAATAAATATTTTCTTGCAATAGTTGCAAATTATTGATTTTATCAATTAATTGTTCAGTTTCATCAAATATCATACCAGAACTTTCATTTAATATTAGCTGATTTAAAAAATTTGCTCTAAATAACCACCATATACAACTTTTATAAATATTTTGTAAGATTTCATTAGAAAATATTATCTTTGAAAGATAAAGAAGATCTAACATTTTAACATTTGCATTGCATTCATCATATAAAGATAAATCTTTAAATATATTTTCATTTTTAATATTTTGCCATTCAATGTTTTTTTTAACTTGTGGACCTGTCCAATTGTATTGAATAAAATATAATAAAGAAGCTATACCAGTGCAAAACCAAGAATCATATAAGCCTGTTTTTTCTATATTTTTATGTATTATCTCAGAATCATAATTGTTGTATTCTTGAATTAGATTTGAAAATAACTTATTATTTATTACATCTTCGTATTTTCCATTTAATATATCTTGTACATAAATAGGTAAATCACAAACTGAAATAAATAAAATTAAAACAATACTTAATTAAGTTAAAATATATGAATAATAGAATATAACCTCAATTCAATATGTAAATATATTCTAAAATTATTCACTCAATTACCATCATTTTTTACAAAATTGATTAATAATAAAATTTCAATTTCTTTATTTATTATTTTATTTACATTTGGAATATTCATTGCTATAATATGACACTTAAGAATACGTGGAAAAATATATACACGAATAATACAACACTGAAAAGAAAGAGCAAGGGGAATACTTTCTTCGATTGGTCTGATACATGCGTTGTATAGGATTCCTAGCATGGAAGATAAAATTTAATCTTATTTTTATATTTTTATATTAGAGTATCTATATAAAGTTATATAATAAATTTAAGAATTCATTCTAAGAAAAATAAATATGAAAGTTGATATGCAAAAATGTTAATTGAGATTTATTTGTAAAATTTGTATGTGTATATATACATATATATACACAATGTATACATATATTTGTTATTAATTGTTTATATTTCTATATATTTAAAATTTTAATATTTGTGAAACAGTTTTTATAGTTAGAATTTGATATGTTTATATTAAAAAAAATATTTTTTTTTTACATTATATATTTTATTTTCATTTAAAACAAATATTTTTAAATACATTTTAATACATTTTAATATCTTAATAGATTTTAAATACTTTATTTAAAATCAAAAAAATAAAACAAGAAAATTTTAAAATGTATATCTTATTAACCACATAATGCATATTAATTATTATAAATTATTTCTTTGTTATTACTATGATATTCTATGTTATTAGAACTATACTATCACATATGCAATATATGTAAATAAATTGAATGCACACAATTATTCTTTACAATTAATTAAGTACATAACAAAATTCTTGTTTATAAGATATATTATATATCATATTTTAAAGAAAATTTTTAGAATTATGGATTCAGTCATTTTTATGTGATTATATAATAGATATATTACAATTAATCAATGGATATATTAAATACTTAATAATATTTTTTATCCCTATACAAGAAAAAGATAATTTTTTTCAATGTAGCTAATTTTTTTAATACTGAAAGCATTTAAAAAAAACATTAAATATAATATATGTTTATTCAGGTAAATCAGTTTTGAATAAATATCTATCTTAACATTAAATAAATTAGTTTAAAAGTTTGATAAGTAAATAAATTCAATATCTATTAATTATAAAATATATGTTTCAAATATGAAAAATTTTATAAAATACTTAGATATTTATACCATTTTGGAATATTTTTAAAAAATGATATAAAAACGAAAATAAACATTGATAATTATTTTTTACAAAATAATCCAATTTTTCAAAAATTTAAATCATTCTCGTTGTTATTATCATTAGATTCCTTTTTTGCAGCTATCAAATTTTCCCATTGCGCGATGAGAGTGCTTCGACGTCGTGGATTAGGCTATTTAATACAATTAAATAATTATCATTGATTTATCATTGATCAAAAATATGGATACATAAATAACAGTTCAATTTACTACTTAATGAAGACAGATAATTAACAATCGGTAAATAAATAAATTATATAAATATTAATATTAAAAACATATGTATTAGTTTTATTAATACCTTGTGTTTTCCTTTAATTTCTTTTTCTATTTCATCTTCATTTAAAGTATTTGTTGAGGTACCGCTTCTTAATGAGTTTGAACCATCATAAATATCGGAATCGTTATCATTTCCAATATCCAAAAGATTTGGTTGAGATTTAGCCAACATCTGTGATCGCATTAATCTAAAAATTCATATAATTTTTTTTTTCATGAAATAAGAAAAATATAAATACTATTTATATTAATATTAATATAATAATTTATCTTAATGATACATTTAATCCAATAAAAATATATGATTGAAAATTATATTATGTTATAGATTATATTAATCAATAAATAATATTAAAGTTTAAATATAACAAATTATAAAATATTCACTATGCACTATCATTTAACTATAAAAACATAAATTAAATATACATATGTGTTACCTAAGCTCATTTTCTCGTTCTTTCATTTCATGTAATTCTTTTTGAATTTTTTCTTCTACAGGCACATATCCTTTTCTAATAGGAGGTTTTTTAGGTTCATTGTCCGGTTCAAGTTGAATTTCCAAATTTCTATTAAAAGCCTTGATACTCAATGGATTAAGTGTGATACTGGGTGATGAAGGTGGTGTTAGCGTATCATTATCTATAGATTTTGGTTTGTAAATTTTTCCACGAGTTGCCAGAAACCTATGCATTAGCCCTTTTTGACTAGGTGCTGTTGCGAAACGCAAAGGTGTTGGAGTGGTGCGACTAGATATCACTCCATTCGTCATCTTTGGCGTTAAGGGTGGTGTAGATGGTGTTAAGCTGATAGCTTCTAAAATTTGTGGAGTAGACGTTGTTCTCTTCAATTTTCCTGAGACCAAAGCTTGTGGCATACGTCGTACCTAATAAACAAAATTTTTGTTGTTTTAATTATATATATTCGATATATATTATATATTACATATATATTTGTAATATATTTTGTTATTACATAAATTGTTGTAATTAAAATTACTACAATTAAAATGAGTGTAATTAAAAACAGTAAATAATACATTTCTTCACTTGATTATAAGAAAACCTGAACAAATGAAATCCAAATGAGCTCTCTCGTGTAAAATATTTTTAAAAAATAAAAGTATTTACCTGAATATAAAAAGATCGAAGTGACCTTTGTAACGCATACGCTATCTATTTGCAGCCATCAATTATACGAAAGCATATTTTAACTATTATCAGTGCAACACAATAATTACGTCACAAGTTAAAAAAATTATTTCATGGTAAACGGCGTTACATTTAATATATATATATATATCAGTAGATAAAATATTTTTGTAGAAATTCTGATATTATAAAAACTAAATACAATCGGCTTTGTGAAATAAATGTGTACACTATCGTATTCTATAGCAATTACTTCAAACATTTTATTAATTAACGTAATTAAAGTATATAAAATCGCGCAATCGTGTCTATGTTTTTATTTATATTATTAAAATATCACTAATTTAGTGAAAAAAATTTATTGTAGTAATGTGAGTCTATGATATTCATTACATTTTGTATACTATATTAATTATAAACAAATATAAAAATAAATTTTTATAATTCTTATTCTTTGCGGAGAATATTTTGCATAAAATTGCTATAAAATAATAATCCATGTCAAATATTATACATTAATTTATAATAAAATTAGTATTCATTTAACTGATTAATGTCGATGATAAATTTTTGTCACTTACTTTAATATAATCTTTTATTTTTAAAGAAAAATAAAAAAGAAAACAATTAATCTGCTTCTTATTGTATCATTATATATTGAATCATTAAAAATGAAATTTCTGATAAAAAAAATGATACATGTTCTAACTTACTTAATGATACTTTTAAATATATATAATATCAATTTTTTTATTAATTTTTTAAAAAATTTATTATTTAATTAATTTTTTATTTAAAAATTAAAAATTTTAAGATTTTATATGTATACATATGTATTATTTTTATCCAATATACATATATAATATACGAAAATTTTTAATGAAATTCTTTTTCAATTTATTATATATCAGATTTTATTTTTCATTGATTCTCATCACATATGTAATAAGATTGATAAAATGCATCGTGAATTATTAAATCTGTTTAATTATTCATGTTCCTTGTGAGCAGCCATAAGTCATACGATGCATTTCGTCCTTATATTACATTCATTTACTCTTTCTTTCTTTCGTTCAACGACCTTGAACATGGTCGACATGAATGCATACATATATATATATACATAAAGTTTTAAACGTACCTTGGAATCCACCGTCTCGTGGGACGTGGTTTTAATGCTACCCACGTTTCTGAGCTCGTGCTCCCTCTCCGTGACCTCTTCGATCTCCTTTTGTATTCTGTCCGTTGCCTTCTTCAACTGCTCCAACCTGTGCTCCGCCTGTAACAAAATGGAATCATGTTATCACGAATTTCATTGTCCACGAATAAAAATATGAAAAATGGAAAAAGTTAAAAAAAGTAAATAAAAAAAAATAAAAATTGAAATCTAATTTTATTTCTCCGTTGATTATCTCGATTTGACGTATGTTTCTCTAAATATCAACTAAAGTGAAGACGATGGATGAATATCCATAGAATGTCCTTTGTATGTCCTTGATTTTTCCAGCCAAGGATTCACGATGATTACATTCATACAGACTCACGTAATTATAAAATCTGATGTTTTAGATTGTTAAATTAATGATGGTGCAATCTGACTCATGAATCTTGTTTCTAATTTCAACGTGATCAGTTTAAACACAGATCTCTGAATGTCTCTGTGGTCTACAAATCTTTCTGTTATGCGAATATAGTGTCTCTTGATCTTTCTTCGTGTAAGAGAGAAAAAGCGAACGAGAAAAAAATTAAGGTGGAAAAAAAAATACAAACCACGAAGCGAATCAAATTCCAGGCTACTTTGCGTCGAACGTCCGCGCTAACGGGAAGCGAATTCCAGAAAACTAGCCACGACTACTATACGATTAACCCATTCTTTCGCCGATATGATCCATCAAAACTCTTATAATACGTTTTTAGGCAAGGTAATTAAATTTTTTTTACGAGAACGAATATACACTATTAACTTCGTTTGTTTGCACAAGTTGAATCGTGCGGAATGGATCGGTCTCCTTTTATGAACGCAATTTAACAAACTGTTATTGTTTCCGCATTTACTTATACTTTCGAAATTCTGTAAATTTAAACATGCAGTACCAGTCACGTGTGCCGCTTTGTACACTTTTGTAATAACAGTACGCGAGCTTTATCAAAGCGTAGCAATGATTAATGGTAAATTTATAATCAGAAGTTTCTTAAGAAATCAATGGATTATATATTTAAATTATTTATTAAAAAGTCTATTATAATAATAATAAATAATATATATAATAATAGATCATTATATATTATATATTAAATGATATTATAAGACACATAATTCATTGGCTTAAATTCATTTTAGATATTATTGTTTGAATTGATCTTTTATCAATTTAGAAAAATTTTTTTTATTCTAATTATATTTTAGTATTCAATCTTTTTTTTCTGCATAATCAAATTGTGCATAATACATTAAATAAAATTTTACAATGAGTTATAAATATGATATTTATAAATTCTTTTATATAATAGTAAAAATTATTTTTAATTTAATAAATACAAAATTTCAAAAGTTGCTTATAAAAATTTTAACAAAATTATAAAATTAAAAAAAAAAGAAGTCTATAGTTTATATTATATATATATTATATATTTATTAGTATTATTAACTGATAAATTATTGTAATATATCTAAAAATAAAATATTTTTTCCTGTAACAAAATACTTTATAAATATAAAACTTATGAATTTATAAATATCAATTAACAATTATTTATATTTTACTATATGTACGTGCAACTGAAATAATCACACGGAATTATAAATAATTATAAACTTTGATAATAAAAATTATAACTTACTGAAAATAAACAAGCATTTGGATACATTTTTGTAGTCTATATTTTTGAACACGTTTTATATTTTTATTAAAGAAAAGAAAAAAAAACAAATTATTGTTTTTCTTTCAATATTTCTTTACATCTTCACTTCACTTTCTTAAAAAAAAAAAAAAAAAAAAAAATAAGAAATGTTTCTCTCGTTAAGCAATTTATTTTGTGACACTATATTATCTAAATCACTGCCATATTATTTAACACATTATAAACCAAAATCGTTTTTCTAGCTTACTAACTCTTGCGATGTTCAAAAATAAACGTTTCGCATTGAATTTGTTACCACACATACTTTTATCTGGTCATTTTTAATCAGATTTTATCAATTGGTATCGCGATCGATAACTATCCTTTGATTTTATATTGTGTTATTGAAAAATAAGAACGTCTACTGTCGATTTTAATACATAAATGGAAATTTAATTGGAAATATCATAATATTTTAAACTAAAAGATCCGTAGATAGAAATCAAGGTCGATATTGTTGTCAATCGATAGATCATCCAATGATAATGCGCAATAGATTTCATTTAAATGACTATTCCCTATGATTTAAATATTTCATAGCAATGATAACAATAATATGAAAAAATTCTTGATTTGATAATAAGATTTATTATTAATTCATAACATATATTATTAATTCATAACATATCGAATATTTGTTTATATAAATAATTGTCTTTAAAAATAACAATTGATTAAGATCGAAATAATTTCAATGGCTTCTTTTAAAATCATTCAATATATACGAAACTTATTAACTTGTTATACTATATGTGAATAATTGATATGACATAATATATATAAATAATAAGTACACAAATTATGATATAAATTATTTGTTGTTTTACATAAATATTGAAAAATATCAATTATAACAGTTGTTTGTACAATATACAACGATTAAATGCAATATTACTTTTTTGTTTCAAAAATTTTAATCATTTTCCTTCATCATTTTTGTCATTCGAATAGTTCTCATGCGTGGTGGAATCTCATTGAATGTAGATCATGGAAAGGAAATTCATTCACGCATTCATAATTAAAGTTTCATTGGATTCAACATACGATTTTATTGTAATGTCTTAAACAATGAAATTTGGCCAATAAATCACTGGATCATCTGAATCTGCGAAATTCCTCAAATTCAGCTTGCATGGATTACACGCAATTTATTCTCATGTTTCTGGTGTGGTCCAAAAAGAAGAATAGAGCTTCAGCTCTTTCATGGCTAGCAGAAGGAAGTAAGTTCGCTCAGGTGTTTCACCCGCACTTCCGCGTAGGAACCAAATATTACTGAAACGAGTTCTTGAAGGGTTTCCGGGTGAGCAGCTGTAGCTGGTCAGCAATCTGGAATGCTGCTCATTGAAAATTAAATGGCATGGCTAGCATGGCTGTTTAACTGTAACCCGTGCTTGTTTGCTTTCTAAAAAAAATGGGCCAATGATCATCTTCTTGCTTCTCTTTTTTTTCTTAAAACATAATCTTCCATCATCGTTTTCATCTGCATCAATGGCCGACTTAAAATTCCTCTTTGCCGATACATGATTTCGACAAATTTTGATCTGTCCATGATGATAAATAGACGATGCAATATGCGGATGCAATTTATTAGATGAGAATTAATAATTATTTAATGAAATACAAGACTTTTTAATAAACTCGTATGATATATATTTTTCATATTTGAAATAATATCGATAATTATTTAAAAAAGAATTTTTTTTATAAAATAAATACATAAATACAAATTAATTTATAAAATTATAAAATTATAAAAGTATAAGATAGAATAATAATATATAACCATACATATTTTAAATATATGTATTCAAATATATATAATTTTAATAATATAATTTAAACAAATTGTAATTCTAAGAAATTTTAATAGTTTTTGAAAAAAAATGATTTTGAACAAGTTCTTGAGCAAGTAGCATTATTGATAGATTTTATTTGATATTACTTTAGTTGGTATTATCATCAAGATCGCTGAAAGCGCAACAGCTGTTTCAATTTCTCATACCTGACGTTGAAACATCTGTCGAATCGTTTTAGAAATAAGACTAACCGTGCTACATCAAGATCAACAATGACCTACATACCTTATATGCAATTAAATTAAATAGCATTGATAAAATGAAGAAATGTATAAAACATACAAAACTTTTTTAACGCAATAATTACTCTTCATGGAAATTATTAATCACTCAAATTGGCTAATTTATAAAAACATTATACATAGAAAAATTTTGTCTCTTGCTCGATTATGGACTACATAATTTGTGTAAAAAATCAGTTGGATAGATATGCATATTGGAAAGATGCACAATACCGGTTTCCTCATGTATGAATGGAAATCCATCGCGAATTACCAGCTATTTTTACAGTTTGCATTTGTTCACAATTTCATCGTTGTTATTAACAATCATTTTCGTCAGAAAACTTTTTCCATGATATTCATGCATATTAAAAATATTTGAAATATTTCCAAATATTTTTATAGAAGGTCTTTATCTTTATGTTTGATGATAATTACTTATTAATAATTATTAATATTTATTATAATACCATATATTATAATTTTTAATTTTCACAAAATTAAAAGATAATAAAAAAAAATTGAACTATTAAATTTTATTTTAATGATTATTGGTTATCATTTGGAGAATAATAATTTATAAATATTATTGATTATTAATTATAAATATTATTAATTGTTATTTTACAAGGTTTTAATTATTGAAATTATTAAATCATTTGATTTAATATTAAAATATTTATTTATAAATAAAAAATAAATAAAATCTGAAGATGAATTTAATTATGTCGTATGTATTTGTTTAAAATATTTCAATTAGAAGTGAATAGAATAATGACTTTAATTACGAGTTGAAATATTTTACATAATTTAATTATAATAAATGCTGTTAAAAAAATATATTGTTTTATGAACTAAAATGTCGAATTTTTTATAAAAAAGCATCAATCGAATATTCACATTTAAAAATCGCGTACGACTTGATTTGAATAGTCGTTCAACCAGTCTTTCGAGAGTAACATGCTAACACGTGTGAATTCATTTTTCATTTAGATAAACTACTTTCGAATATACATAAAATTATGTTATTATGTTTATTATGTTGATTATGTTCAAGTTGTCCAATTAAATAAAACCAAATATCGTAATATCTTTTTCAGTATACTTTCTCGAATAATTAATTAATTAATTCATTTGAAATATCGACATTTTGGTATGCAATTGGCATAAATCAGTATTCATGAAAGAAATCAAAATTTTCATTTACGTTTCTTCGTTTAATCATTTAAAAATACCGCTATCTTGATCAATTCAAATTATAATTTTTGTCATCATGCAGAAATATCGATACAAATATCGATCATTTATGCATGAAACTTATTTTAACATAATAAAAACGTTAATTTTATACTATTGATTCATATGAATATTTTAATCAAATACGTAAACAATATGAAAAAATTTCTTTTAGCACTATTGCATTAAACTTACCTCCATTTTCATCGTTGCCGAACGAAATAATGCAATGAAAATCGAACACCACTTTTCGTTATATGTGTTTTTCGATTACCGAACTCGGGATACGAATTCGATCGTTTATCTGTTCAGGTGTTACATTCGGAGTTATTATCATAAAATTACGTCACATTGTTCTCTTTTTTCTTTCAAACGTGTATCTCCCGCCGAAAAATTCTAAAAAAAATTTTTGATTCGACGCCAAAAAATTCAAATCAATTTTTTCCGCTAACGATCGCTCTAAAGGATTGATCCAACTTCAATTACGATCACGCACAACGGCACCAAGTCAAATCTTCTTGACGTGAATGTAACTCGAAGGTTTTGTAGTAGGTTGATCGATTCCCATGAGGTAATCTCGAGTCGGAGCACAAGAGAGAAATCTCACGTGATCTACGAGATGCAAGAACGTGAATCGCGTCTGCCACAAAGACTCGACTCTGAGATACAACTAACTAGATTGGTCGAAGAAAAATGGAATAAGAAGCCGGTATGTGTTATTGTGAAACTCGACAATGACAACCATTCGACTTCAGTTTCGAAACTAATTCCTGAAGCACGTTCATTCTTCTCTTCTAGTTAGATGTTCCTGCAATTTTCGAGACTATGTAATTATAATTGAGACACAGCTGAACTCCACTCAACGACTGCCATTTTATCTGTGACCTTGTTCCTCGACCGTTCTCCGAACAAAAGCAACAGAGCCGAACCGCATTATATCCGATTCTTTTCGTTTCAGTTTATCATATGTATAAATTTTCTTCCGTAATTTTAATCATAACCTAATTATATTAATTAAATTATTTTACTCAAATTCTTTTTTATATTTTTTTAATACAAGATATTGTAATAATATATTTATTTTTAATTATATCTATTCATATCTATTTCTGAAATAATAATAATAATAACAATCAATGATTGTATTTTTCTAACATAAAAATTTTTTTTTTATTATTTATTTGTTTAAAAAAATTTTATTATTATTAATTAAAATTTATATATACTTATTGTAATTTCAAATTCTGTTCAAATAAACTCTAATCTAAATCTATTTAAAATTGTAAATTCTTCAATCTTTTTAAAACTAAATACTTATATTAATACTAAATACTTAAATATAAATCATTATATTATTTGTTAAAATATTTAGAATAAAAGTTAAATTCAATTGATCAATTTATACATTTTATACTAATATAAAAATATTTCGTAATATTTCGTAAAAGTATTATATTAAAATAATGAATTAAATAACAAAAAAATTTCTGTTTTGAGATTATACAAAATATTTTAAATTCGATTTTAGCGCATAATTAAATACATATTGCATCATAGGCGCCATCTATATCCTTTGCTTTTATATATTTAAAATGCAAAGATAAATATCTAAAATTTTACATAAAATTTGAACGTAAATACAATTAAATAGTTTTTTAAAGTAATTATAAAATTAATAAAATCAAATTAAATTTAAAATATTATAAAATTTTACTTAATATTTATCATATGTAAATATATATAAATGGATAATTAGGAATTTAACGGAAATGTTATTATCATTGGTTCTTTCTCTTTTAAAATACTTTATTTTAACATAATTAACCAATAAGACAATCTTTCAAATTTTTATAATTTTATTGCTATATATCAAAAATATAATCTTATATATATCTTTTATATTTATATTTATTTGAATAATAATTATATACAAATATTCTTTGTGCTATATAAGGTTTTCATATTTATAATTACATATGTATAAATTAATCGATTGAACGAATAAATTTATTGTTATATTCTAATTAATTAATATAAATGTTTATATATTAAGTATATTTTTAATTTCTGTATGTAATCATTAATTTATCATTTTCCTACTTATTTTATTAATGTATGTTTTCATAAAAATCTAGTTGCGATGGATTGTGTTAAAAAAGTGTGTCACATACAGATGAAAAATAAAGAACAATTTTCTTCTGTTAATAGTAAGTAATTTAATTTTTTTATTGTATATTCATTTTTTAATAATATATATATATAAGCAAATATAAAAAACATGTTTTATTGGATTCATATTACAGAACTTTCACATGCAAAATCAACACAAGGAAAAAATTTAACAGGTTCTGCTCGGCATATACGAGATTTAATTGCAGATATTCATAAAAATATACAAATATGGAATACACTTCACTTAGAAGGAATAATATTACTCAAAAATATAATTCAAGTAAAACAGGATAATTCTTATTCTGAAATTTTGCAAGAACAATGTGATAAATTAGAAAATATTTGTGATTCATTGGTAATGCATCTTTTAATATTTTTCATCTAATATATTTTTATTATAAAAAAAATATTTTTATTATAATATTTTTTATAGATTACTATCGTAGAAAATTTTGCTCAAATTACACAACATATAAAAATAACGGCATCTTTAGAAACTAATATGAACAAGTTATTTATAACATGGCCTAATTTAAAATTTGGTAAAAATATTTATAATTATATTTTATAAAATTTAATTGAATTTTTGAAATTAATTTATCTTATTAGGGTTATGATTAATTTTAGGAGAAATTGCACAATTAATATATGATGCATATTCCCGTGAATTAAAAGTAAAGCTTAAAGTTTTAGAAAATATAGCACATTATTATACAGATTCATGGAAAATGTTGTTTCTTGCTAGTTGGGTACATCAACCATTATTACCATATAATTTGACAACATTCTTGGAATCAATGTTAATAGAGAGTGGACATAGGTAATAAATTATTATTGATATAAATTTTGGTAAGTGTTCTATTTCAAAAACAATTCAGTGTTTACAATGATTATTTTTTTGTATTATATCATAAGTTATAACTATGAAATAAAACAAAGATTAACAGAATGATCATTTATTTGTGGCTTTTCAAATACCATTTGTATAATTTCACAAAACCAAAATATGAAATTGAAATATATTTGAATTATGAAGTTCTGTTTACAATTGGTACCTGAGATCACAAAAAATTAATATGAATATAGACAAGTATAAACATATTATATGTTTGTTTGAAAATGCAGATTCTAGAAAGTGTATCTTAAAGATACAAGGAACTAAACCTGCAAAATTAATGCATTTATGATTAGTTACAATTATTCTAATATTACTAGTGCCATTAACATTTAATTATATCAATAACTTCTTATATATGTATAATACATATTTACAGATAAATACAAAATTAATAATTTCCACTGTACATAAATGCTATAACAATGTGGATGGAATTATTTTTTTGGTGTATTAAGTATTTTTAATGATTTAATATTTCATACAAAAATTGTAAATAATTCACTTTTATTCATTAATTATTACTTACAATTTCTGAAATCATTATCTTCATTTTTTCAGTTTTCATTATCTTTTTTTACAGTTATTATGAAATTATTGATATAATATAAATACAATTTTTATTTTGTCCATTAGCAATACAAATTTTACAGATGATAAATATTCACTAGATATAGGAAGTCAAAATTGAATCATAAAATAATTTGTGCATAATCATTTTTTTAATATTCTAACTAAAAAAAATTATTATAATATATTTCTACCTGATTATATAACTAATATCTATGAAAAGTTATATTTACATAAAATTTATATATTTATATTTTACATTGTTTAACATATAATTTTAATTTCTTATTTTTTAGTTTATCATATGAAACTTTTTTTCAAGAAATTTAACTAAAAATATTAATTGCATTATGTATGATTATAAAGATTATTTGTTAAAAAAAAAATTATATGTTTCAGTAAAAATTTGTTGAAGTGTTATCTGACAAAGTAGAAACTCCTTTGACTAACACCGATACATTTTTGATATTATCAATGTAGTATAACTATCTTTTTTCATATAAAATATACATTATACACAATAAATATAACAGAAACAGTCTTATTTACATACACATGTCAGAATGCAAGACATATTATCTTACTGTTAATAGTATTCTTCATTCAAATATGGAAATTATAATATATTGAGTGTGATACTGTCAGAATTTCTATAAAAAAATATCTACATTATTGTGTGTAATCATACATATACAATTTCAATTGCATAAGTTTGATATTATTATATACTATATTTATTATTTCAATTTTTTTAGGAACATTTTGCATGTTATCCAAGAATCAACTTCTAGTATTTCTATTAAATTCTTCACTTAATGCTTCAAAATCAAGATCTGTATCTAAATTTGAATTATTTGATATCAAATTATTTTCTAAAATATTATCTGGCATAATATTTTTTAATCGTTCAGATACAAGTTCATCAACTAAATTTGATTGATCTACTAAATGTAACTGTTCGACTAATTTTTCATCGATTAATAAGTTTTTATCTATGACTCCACTTGTATTTAAAATATCTAAATGTGCTATATGATCATACTGAGCTATTTTTGACATATCTAAATTTTCTGAACTGCCAAATATATTAGTATCACAATTATTGGAAATTATTGGTACTGCATCTTGAAGTATAGGCAGGCTATCTGAAATTTTGCAACCAGAAGTAGCAGGCATTATTTTGCAAGAACCTGTATCTAATGATGCAGACTGAGTTTTAACACAATTTAAATCTGATGATGTCATAGGAATTATTTTGGAAACTAATTTTTGGAATCCTTTGATAAAATTTTGAGATCCATTCTCCATGTTATCTAAACCATTTTGTATTTTATCAAAATTTTGAGTATCTTGTTTTGAATAAGTATCCATAGAACCATTTTCTAGTTTAACAAATCCTTGTTCTGTTGGTTCTAATTTTATAAAAGCTTGTTCCATATGTTCTATCTTAGATTGTTCATAATTATCTTCAACTTTACAAAAGTTTGATGATCCTAAACTATTTCCTAATTTTGTAAAGTTTTCTTTATGAGACTCTGATTTTTGATAACTTGAAACTTTTGGTGAAGTGATATCAACTTTTTGAAATCCGGGATTATCTGAAATTTGATTTTGAATTTCTGGATTTGAAATTAAAAGTTTTGAAACATTGTTAGATTTATTATTTTCTGTATTATTCACAGGACTAGGATTTCTTCGCATTAATGTTAAAGCAGATAGCACTTCTGGACAAGTAGGATTTGTTATAGAATCATTTCTTCTATCACTTAAAAAGTCCGAAACACTAAGATCTGAACTTTCAGAAAAACCACTGGACATTCGTTCCTCTATATTTTCTTTACCATCTTCAGAATTATCTATTTTTTGAAGTTTAAGAGGTGGCTCTCTATTGTCATAAGTAGTGCAAATAGAAGTATCACTTTTTTTTAGAGCTTCATTGTTAATTCTATATAATCCTGGATTAAGACCTAAAGCATCACAAAGTGATTCTTCAGTGATATCAATTAAATCTTCATTTAATTCCTCATCACTATTTGCAATTGTTAACATTGTTCCAGCTTTTTCTCGTATTTTATCCATTAATTGTTTTAACTCGTCCAAAAAATTTCTTACATTATTTTCAGACTTTAATACCAATAAATCAAATAATGATTGTGCGTTAAGTACCGGTTTTGCAGCAATTTTTATTATTTCGAGATTTTCACATACAGAAATCGCTTCTTGCAATTTTATTTGGCGTCTTTCTGATTTAGCTTCTGGTGTAACATAAGCCCAAGGACCACGTTTTTTTCCTTTACGTTTTAAAGGATCTTGTCCTCCATTTTGTTTTAATTCAGGTTCAGGTGTTGGAGGAGGTAGTTGCTCAGGACTTCCATGATCAGGATGCATTTCAAAATGCCTTGCCATACGAGTACGCCCTAAATATATTTTATTACATGTAGGACATCTAAAATGATCTGATATTTTTCTTTTTGGTACTTCAAGACCTGTTAATAATTCTTTAGGTGATTCTTCTTCTTCAAGTTTATCATTATTAGTATTATAATCACTATAGCCACCATCTGAATCATCTAAGTCAGGTTGTAGAAAATCTAAATGATGTAAATGTTTATAATCTCGCACCATATGTCTAGGAGGTCGAGAAAGTCTACCAGATCGTGTTCTGGCTACAACTTTTTTTCTTTCATCCTGAAAAAAGGATTAATATATTAAAATTGTAAAATAATTTAAAAATTTAAAAAATAAATAAAATCTACTTTTAATTCTTCTTGTTCTTCATCAGGAATTGGTGGTGGTTTAGGTGGAAGCAATGAAGGTCTTATAGTACTTTTTTTTGGTCTACCTCTTTTTCCACCACGATTTTTTAATAAATTTCCTGGATTTCTAATTTGTAAATCCAATTCTTCGGGAAATACCACTCTGAATGTACATTTAAATTATTTAGATATAAAATTTTATAATATTAAATAAATATATATACTGACCTATATACTATTCTTTCATTTGATGTAGCTGTTTCTTGGCTACGTTGTTGCAAAACATGTGCAATTTGTTTTAATTGCATTGGTGTTAAACGTTGCATACTAGAACAAATATAATTGTTATAAAATAATTGGTAATTATATTATTAATATTTGTTACTTACCTATGAAATGTTTGACCTTGCTGAACTATTTGTATTGGATTTTCACTAGAACCTAATGGCTTAGATGCATCTGTAGATTCATTTACTATTGTTGTAGATTTAATGGGAGTACTTTTAACTTTTTTATTTACTTTAAGATTTGTGCCATTTACTATAAAATTAAGTTTTTGTCTAGTAGTTTCATTTTGAATTGATTTAATAGATTCATATGTATTGTTATGTTGTGTTTTTTGTGAAGTATTTTGTAAATTACTTGAAACATTAGTAATATTTTGGTTTGCAACAGTTACATTTTGTTTAGTTGCATTATTAAACGTAATTTTTGTTTGAGGTTTTAAAATAGATATAGGCGTTGATGAAATTTGAGTTGGTTTTAAAATAGAATTTGTTGTTACTGTTTTTAAATCTTGAGTTTTTACAATAGATGCAGTTCGAAGTACAACAGGTGTATCAGAATTAGTTGTAGTTTTTGCTGTTCCAATTATTCCTGAATTTTTTTTACCAATAGTGGCCCTTGTTTTAAGTAGCTGAGAAGGGATTTGTACAGATTTTAAAAATTGTGCAGGAATAGCTGTAGTCACATTGGTATTATTAAGAATTTGATTAGTCTTTGGAAGCACAGTTGATGCACTTTTTAGCACTGGAGTTAAAAATTGTTGAACATTTCCTTTTTGAAGAGATTGTGATGTTTTTACAATTGGAGACAAACGTATTTGTGAAGTAACAAGATTTTGCGTTGCTCCAGATGTAGTATTTACAATAGTATTTGAAATATGTGAAGTACCAATAGATTGATTTTGTATATCACAAGTACCAGTTAAAAACTGAGAAGTATTTAATAATTGTGCAGATATACCACTAGTATTTAATAACTGAGCTGTTATAGGTGTAGCTTTTATTATTTGTGGTGATAAATTATTTACTATTGTAGCTTTTGAAAGTAATACAGAATTAGGATTTGAATTAGTATTAAGTGAATGTACAGCATTAATGGAATTAACAGTTGTGTTAGAGAGTTTATTTGAATTTTGAAGTAATCTAATATTTTTAGCTGGTTTTAATATAGTTTGTGCAGGTTTTATAATAAATTGTGAAGATGGTAAAATCACAGGTAATTTTTGTAAAATTTGCGCTTGAGTATTAGGTATTGTATTAAGTTGATTTTGTGCTATATTATCTTCAATAGTATATTGCAATTCATTTTCATGAATATTTTTTACTTGTGTAATATCTGTTTTTATTCCATGTACTTTAGGCTGATCCAAAACTAATGTCTGTGCATTCGAATTTTGTTGAATTATATTATTTTGATGTTCAATTATTTGTTGAGATTCATGATTTTGACTATTCAAATTCATTTCTTCTAATGATATATCATTTTCAACTACTTGATCTTGAAGTTGTTCTGTTTGAGAAACTTTTTGCATATGCCATTCTTGAAAATCAATACACTCTGTTTTAATCAATTCAGTTTCATTGGATTTTTGTATTTGTTCAGATTGATAATTTAACTGATCAATTGTTATAGATTCCTGAGAAGATAATGAATTTTGGTCCTGTTCATTAATTTTATCTTTTATAGAAATATTTTCTGCTATATTTGAAGTAGTATTATCTTGATCTTGTTGATATATAACCTCTTCATTCGAGGTTACCTCAAAGGTTAAGCCTAAAGCTGCTGCTTGTTCTGGAGTCAAGTGAATAGTTTGAGAATCATTATCGTCATTTTGTAAAAATGCCACAAACTCATTATCATGATCGTCATCATCAACAACTTGTTGAAAAGCTTGTTGAAGAAGATCAGAAGCACCAGTAGAAGGTGCATCGTTTGTAAACACAGTAGAATTCGAAATTTCTGCCATATCATAAATTTTTTAGCTTTTTAGCTTAAAAAATATAATCACACAATAGTGACAATCACTTTCATGTTTTAGAATAATATTTTATACAATTCTTTCTTCAGAAAATCCTTTTATAATTTACGTTTATTTCATTTCGCTGTACACGTTTTTCGCGCAAACAGAAACATATGAGGTATATGAAGTTTGTCATAGATGCAGTAAAGAAAATGGCGACATCATCAGTAGAATATAAGAGTATAGAGTTGGTAATTACAAATATACAGTTGGTAATTCACAGTAATGTCTATTTTCATTGTACCGTTTATTTGATATTAGGTATACTTTGTTACGAGATAGTTTTTTTATGTGATGGAATTATGAATCTTGCGATACATTTTTGTGTATGTTAGACATAATAGTATAAAAAAATAAAGTTAATTAACTGAAATAGATAAAAAATTTGTATATGAATATTATTCTAATATGTTGTATAAACTTTATGCACAATTCTTTGTTTCATAGATTTGAATGATTGAAAATGAATATTTATTTTTGTGCATTATATTTTAGTCTAATCGTCACTTGCTGTGATATTATATCAAACTACTGTGTATGATTTATTGTACTTTCACGTAATTGTTCACAAGAATATATATAATATATATTGATATTTACTGTAATTAATATACAACATCTTAAATTGTAATTGTGCGATAATATTATAAATTTTATAAATCCAAAATCTCTCTTTCTCTTTCTGTCTTTTTGTCTCTCTATTTTAACATATATATATATATATATATATATAAAAGAAATATCAAATAAATAAAATATACACAGTTCTAATATGGTGAGTATCGTCGATGATTCAATTTACTATATTCGTAATTTTTTTCTTATTCTTTTATTAATTTATAAATAAATTATTTAAAAATTTCTATTCAACAATGAAATCAATTTAATTAATAGTGAAATAATTGATTATTTGTAACATTTAATCCAATTATTCTAGTGAATAATTTTTTATTTTAAATTGTCAGATAAAATTTTATCATTTGTTTAAAATTTTATCTTTATGAAAATATTTAGAAATCTAATATATTAGGATATTAAAAAGTATTTAGTAATTAAATGTTTACATATGCAAATATATAAAATAATGATTATATATAAAATAGTAGTTCTATAATAAACTATTTTATAAATAACTTTAAATATGTTATCATTTGTTATATTTATTAATGTTATGTTATTAATGTTATATTAGAGAATTTTCATTTTGTAGGATGATGATGATCAATATCAAGCTAGTTATGATGTAGGTTCTTTTCCTAAAGACTTTGGATATGCCCCATTTGATGGAGAAACAGAAGGATCTATAGATCCTTTAGCAGGAGAACAAAAACCTAGAATATTATTAATGGGTCTTCGAAGGTATCTAAAATATATTAATAAAATATATATTTTTATTTTTAATTTTTTTTAATATGATTGTTAATTATATTGTTATTAATATTATTTAATATAATTATTATTATTTTAATATTAATATTTTAGGAGTGGAAAGTCATCAATACAAAAAGTAGTTTTTCATAAAATGTCACCAAATGAAACATTATTTCTGGAAAGCACAAATAAAATTATTAAAGATGATATAAGTAACTCTAGTTTTGTTCAATTTCAAATTTGGGACTTTCCAGGACAAATTGACTTTTTTGATCCTACTTTTGATAGCGATATGATATTTGGTGGTTGTGGAGCTTTAGTTTTTGTTATTGATGCTCAAGATGATTATATGGAAGCACTTAATAAACTTCATTTAACAGTTACAAAAGCATATAAGGTTAATCAAGCAATAAAATTTGAAGTATTCATACATAAGGTTGATGGTTTATCTGATGATTGCAAAATGGAAACACAAAGGGATATACATACTAGAGCAAATGATGATCTTGCAGATTCTGGTAAACAAAAATCAAGTAATAGGAAATTTATATTTTATTAATAATTATTTATATATATTTATATATATATATTTTAGGATGTGATCAAATACATCTAAGTTTTCATTTAACATCTATATATGATCATAGTATATTTGAAGCATTTAGCAAAGTTGTACAAAAATTGATACCACAGTTACCAACTCTAGAAAATTTACTTAACATACTCATATCAGTAAGAAAAAATATGATTATTAAATATAAACATTTATCATATATATTTTTATAAAATAATTTGTAATTTGTTTTTCAGAATTCTGCAATTGAAAAGGCATTTTTATTTGATGTAGTATCTAAAATTTATATTGCAACTGATAGTTCTCCTGTAGATATGCAAAGTTATGAACTTTGTTGTGATATGATTGATGTTGTTATTGATGTATCTTGCATATATGGGTATGTCTCAAATTTCTATATAAAAATTTATATGTATATAATTATATAATAAAAAAAATTTATATCACATCATTAATTTTAGTTTAAGAGAAGATTTAGAGGCTGCAGCATTTGATAATCAAAGTTCTAGCTTAATCAAACTAATAATGGAACAATTTTGTATTTAAGAGAAGTTAATAAATTCTTGGCTTTAGTTTGTATTTTGCGCGAAGATAATTTTGATAGACAAGGTACTTTTATTTAAATCTATTAAAAAATGCAATCATAATATGGTATCAGATTTTTTTTTTTAATTTACAGGTGTAATTGATTATAACTTTCTTTGTTTTCGTAAAGCTATACAACAAGTTTTTGAATTGCGTAATAAAGCATTGACTACTGCAAATATTAATAATCATTCAACACCATCTATTAATTTAAGTGAAACTGTAAATGCTCCTACAGTGTCACAAAGTGGAACAATGGGACAAAACGGTACTGTTGTAAATGCACAGAGTTTTGCGCAAAATAGAATTTTTCTTTAAATGTTTGAGTAAATAGAATTTTTCTCTTTACATAATGCTAATAAGATATTGCAATCATGTTATTCATAACTTAATTTTATAAATATTTACTTACTACAAGATGTATTTATTTTATTATTTCTTACCAATTTTTTTAATGAAATTAAATTACAGAAATATGTATATACATATATATATATATAGTGTAAGATGTATATATATGTATATATACATACAATTGTATATTAAAATAAATTATTTCCAAATACAAAAATAATAATTTACATATTTATTAACTATTGTTATAATGTTTCATTATTTTTCAATTCCTCTGTGAAATAATACAAAAGTAGTACTTCTTTATAAACATCTATTTTTCATCTCTATCAATATATTTTGTAGCTTATTTTTGATTAAATTTCATATAATTTATTTTTTTTATAAATAATTTGTTTCTGATTTTTCATCATTAATAAGATCTTGCATTTCACGATGTAATATGTATGGAGATAAATTGATTGCAACAACACTTTCTTCTAATTGATACCATCGTATATATGAAAATGTTTGTTCATATTCATTTAGAATAATGTCATTTGGTAAAGACTTTTCAGAATTTAAACTAGAAAATATAAAAATTTATATTATAATTTTATAATTTAATAATTATTTTAAAAATTTATTTATTTTTAAAAACATTTAAAATTTATATTTTAAAATAAAATACTACATATATATTCATAGAACTATATTTAATTTTTTAATTTTATCATAAGTTTTGTAGCTTTTAAAGTTAATCTTTTTATTAAAAATAATTCACTTTGTATATAAATTTAATAAAAAATATTAATTTTATTAAGATATAATTTTAAAATATTTATTTTCTTACCTGCTGCTATACCAATCTAATTTATGTATAATCTTTGGAATTGGAATAGGCAAACCTGATGGTGGTAAGTATTGATAAGCTACTTCAATTAACAAACTACGACTGAGATTATTCAGTGGATACATAGTAACATTATTTTCTACATAAATATCTTTTGTACTAATTTGATATTGCAGCATCAATTCGTCTGAAAAAGATTTATAAGGATTGGCTAGGATTTTTGAATGAAAGGAATTACTAATATAAACTAATATGATTCGTGAAAAATAAATA